TGGTTAACACAAGTCTATCTGATGTTATCCTGACGCCAAATGACTTTGAACAGGCGATAAATGACATGCCCATGCACTCTGCCCCAGGGCCAGACTCATGGAACTCCGTGTTCATCAAGAACTGCAAGAAGCCCCTATCACGAGCTTTTACCATCCTATGGAGAGGGAGCATGGACACGGGGGTCGTCCCACAGTTACTAAAAACAACAGACATAGCCCCACTCCACAAAGGGGGCAGTAAAGCAATAGCAAAGAACTACAGACCAATAGCACTAACATCCCATATCATAAAAATCTTTGAAAGGGTCCTAAGAAGCAAGATCACCACCCATCTAGAAACCCATCAATTACACAACCCAGGGCAACATGGGCTTAGAGCAGGTCGCTCCTGTCTGTCTCAACTATTGGATCACTACGACAAGGTCCTAGATGCACTAGAAGACAAAGAGAATGCAGATGTAACATATACAGACTTTGCAAAAGCCTTCGGCAAGTGTGACCATGGCATAATAGCGCACAAAATGCGTGCTAAAGGAATAACAGGAAAAGTTGGTAGACGGATCTATAATTTCCTCACAAACAGAACACATAGAGTAGTAGTCAACAGAGTAAAGTCCGAGGCGGCTACGGTGAAAAGCTCTGTTCCACAAGGCACAGTACTAGCTCCCATCTTGTTTCTCATCCTCATATCTGACATAGACAAGGATGTCAGCCACAGCACCGTGTCTTCCTTTGCAGATGACACCCAAATCTGCATGACAGTGTCTTCCATTGCAGACACTGCAAGGCTCCAGGCGGACATCAACCAAATGTTTCAATGGGCTGCAGAAAACAATATGAAGTTCAACGATGAGAAATTTCAATTACTCCGATATGGTAAACACGAGGAAATTAAGACTTCATCAGAGTACAAAACAAATTCCGGCCACAAAATAGAGCGAAAAACCAACATCAAAGACCTGGGAGTGATCATGTCGGAGGATCTCACCTTCAAGGACCATAACATTGTATCAATCACATCTGCTAGAAAAATGACAGGATGGATAATGAGAACCTCCAAACTAGGGATGCCAAGCCCATGATGACACTCTTCAGGTCACTTGTTCTATCTAGGCTGGAATATTGCTGCACACTAACAGCACCTTTCAAGGCAGGTGAAATTGCTGACCTAGAAAATGCACAGAGAACCTTCATGGCGCCCATAACGGAGATAAAACACCTCAATTACTGGGAGCGCTTGAAGCTCCTGAACCTGTATTCCCTGGAACGCAGGCGGGAGAGATACATGATTATATACACCTGGAAAATCCTAGAGGGACTAGTACCGAACTTGCACATGAAAATCACTCACAACAAAAGCAAAAGACTTGGCAGATGATGCAACATCCCCCCAATGAAAAGCAGGGGTGTCACTAGCATGTTAAGAGACAATACAATAAGTGTCAGAGGCCCAAGACTGTTCAACTGCCTCCCTGCATACATAAGGGGGATTACCAATATACCCCTGGCAGTCTTCAAGCTGGCACTGGACAAGCACCTAAAGTCGGTACCTGACCAGCCGGGCTGTGGCTCGTACGTTGGATTGCGTGCAGCCAACAATAACAGCCTGGTTGATCAGGCTCTGATCCACCAGGAGGGATGGTCACAGACAGGCTGAGGGGGCGTTGACCCCCGGAACTCACTCCAGGTATAACACTTTGTCTGGATTTTTTTGGTTATCCTAAGTAATTTATACTATGTATGATAACTTCACTTATGCGTACCTCTGTGTGAGTGTGAGTGTGAGTGTGTGTGTGTGTGTGTGTGTGTGTGTGTGAGAGAGAGAGAGAGAGAGAGAGAGAGAGAGAGAGAGAGAGAGAGAGAGAGAGAGAGAGAGAGAGAGAGAGAGAGAGAGAGAGAGAGAGAGAGAGAGAGAGAGGAGAGAGAGAGAGAGAGAAGAGACAGAGACAGAGACAGAGACAGAGAGACAGAGAGACAGAGAGACAGAGAGACAGAGAGACAGAGAGACAGAGACAGAGACAGAGACAGAGACAGAGACAGAGACAGAGAGACAGAGACAGAGACAGAGACAGAGACAGAGACAGAGAGAGAGAGAGAGAGAGAGAGAGAGAGAGACAGAGAGAGAGACAGAGAGAGAGACAGAGAGAGAGACAGAGACAGAGACAGAGACAGAGACAGAGACAGAGACAGAGACAGAGAGACTAAAAGAACACTAAAAGGACACTAAAAGAAAGCTAGCATCAGGTAGGGTAGGCTCCAAAACCTGGTGGTCCCTGGTCAAGGACAGACAAAGTTATCTGCCTGATGAACTCATTCCACCTCTAAATCGACAGGATGGGACTACCTCTACTAGTTGTCAAGAGAAGGCGGACCTCTTTGCTGAACACTTTGCTAACACTTTGCTACCAAAATGCAAGTTCCTGATCCAGCAAGGGACCCTCCTTGGCTAGCTGCAAGAACTGTGTCAAAACTGTCAGTGGTGACAATAAGGCAGGAGGAGGTGCATTTCCTTCTTAAATCGCTTGACCAAGAGAAGGCTGTGGGCCCAGCCAAGTTGAGCCCAAGATTGCTGAGAAGATGTGCAGACCAGCTAGCAGCACCTCTAACTTGCATCTTTCAGCACTGCCTAGTACAGCGTAAATGGCACTCTCTATGGAAAGAGGCAAATGTAGTCCCTGTTCACAAAAAGAAGAGCAGAGCAGAAATCAGCAACTACAGACCAGTGTCACTCCTGTCAATCACTGGTAAGATCCTTGACACAATAATCTCAAGACAAACGACAGAGTTTTTTGACTATCACTCACTACTTTGTGATTGTCAATATGGCTTCAGGAAAGGGTACTCTGCTGCTGATCTGTTGTTAAACCTCTCCACTAAGTGGCACCAGTCACTGGATGAATCCAAAGTCAGCTGTGTGGTAGCACTGGACATTGCTGGCACTTTTGACCGGGTGTGGCACCAGGGCCTCTTAGCAAAACTTCAAGCACTGGGAATTGCAGACTCTACGCTATGTCTCCTCAGTGATTACCTTCAAGGTAGATCTCTAAGTGTAGTTCTCAATGGAACGGAATCAGCAAGACATCCTATTGGGGCAAGTGTTCCACAAGGAAGTGTGCTGGGACCATTGTTATGGAATGTCTACTTCAACGACCTTCTTCATCTCATCCCAGAGTCACATGCATATGCAGAGGACTGTACACTGACATTCACTTATCCAAGAGAAGAAATGCCAGCTGCTCTAAGCTACATCAATCACCAGCTAAGAGCTATATCAGCTTGGGGAAATAGATGGCAAGTAACATTTGCACCTGAGAAAACGCAAATGATGATCGTCTCTAGGCACCATGATGGTAATGCTGGTGCAGTAGTAAGGATGAATGGGAGGGTGTTGGCACCTGGAGAAGAAGTTGATATCCTTGGGGTGAAATTTGACTCCAAACTAACCATGAAGAACCATGTTGTAAATCTAGCAAACAAGGCAGCCTGGAAGCTTAGAGCACTTCGCCGTATCTCGCATCTGCTTGACAGTAGGGGTTGCAAGATTCTGTACGAGGCACAAGTACGCTCGCATATTGAGTATGCTCCACTTTCTTGGTTTGCCTGCCCCCCCTCTCATCTTCGACTGCTTGACAGAGTAGAGAACAGAGCAAGACGTCTCATCTCTCGCCTGGACCCATCCTGGATAGATCTGTCATTTCGGCAGAGCCTTCAACACAGGAGGGATGTGAGTGGCCTTACTGTTATGTACAAGGCCAATATTGTCAAAGTACCACACTTGGATCCACTTCGAGGACAGCGTGAAACAAGCTTTTATGCCACAAGATGGGCAGAAAGCAGCAACTTCACTCTGGCTGTACCCTTCTCCAGAACATCACTCCATCTGAGATCATATATACCCAGGATGAATCGAGTATGGAGCACATTCGTACAGCATAATGATGTCAACGAGATAACGTCAGTTGATCAAATGAAAATGCTGGCCCACAAATGGCTCCAACTTCATCCTGTTCCCTACTTGTATGTCTCATAACAATAAAAATGCTTTCAAATGAGCTGATGTAGGTAACAGCTCCTAGCTTGCCAATAAAGTTAGGAATCCTTAACCTGTAAATAGATTGTCAATAAAACTAGGGATCCTTAACCTTGTCAAACCCTGTGTAAAAAAAAAGAGAGAGATACAGAGAGAGAAACAGAGAGAGAGAGAGAGAGCCACATTCAGTCAGCCAGTCAGCCAATGACCCACCCGGCCAGCCAGCCAGCCAGATACGTATTACACATGTTCCAGAATTGTTTCTCTTTACTTAGGGTATAGGTTACACTACATTCTGGCAGGATGACACTACCAGTGGTATTCTCCCATTCCACTGTGTCGACAATACATAAAGATACATGTAACAGCAACATATGATACTGTATGCGATGTAAAGTTTACAATTCAGTTCACTACCATGTATATATTATATACAGTACATAAATAATTAAAATATAACAACAGTAAATTACGGTAAAAAGAATGAAATAATGATTGTACATTACATTACAGTACTATGTAGGTAGTTTATATAGGAAAGGTTTGACATTATGCCCTACCCAGTACAGTGGACCCCCGCTTAACGATCACCTCCCAATGCGACCAATTATGTAAGTGTATTTATGTAAGTGCGTTTGTACGTGTATGTTTGGGGGTTTGAAATGGACTAATCTACTTCAAAATATTCCTTATGGGAACAAATTCGGTCAGTACTGGCACCTGAACATACTTCAGGAATGAAAAAATATCGTTAACCGGGGGTCCACTGTATGTTGGCAATTTTCGAAGGTTCGACTTACGTCCATTTTGACTTATGACCGGTTGGTCGGAGCCAAGCTTGGTTGTAAGTCGGATGGTACCTGTACTAATATACAGATATATATCAGTAAAATAATAATCTAAGCAAAGTTTGGGATTGATAACTGCAAAAAACACCATTTATTACAGTGATTACCATCTTGTAAATTACCTGATCAACCATCCCTCTTGAAAGAGGAATAGGAGGACTGGACACTTCAAATTCAGGATTGAGTTGAAACGTGAGGTGATGAGCCACTGAACCATCACAGTGTAGTGTGCGAGTGTGTCCACGACCTTTCACAACAACCTGAAACAAGAGTTCAACTTGAAATAATTGTCAACTATACTTGATACACTCTACACAATAACATAACAGAGCCTGATGTTCATTCCACATAAAGTAATAGGTATACTATTATAGGTACCCATTTTACTGATGGGTGAACATAGACAACCAGTGTAAGAAACACGCCCAATGTTTCTACTCCTCACTGGGAATCGAACCCAGACCCTCGCCGTGTGAAGCAAGAACCAGGTCATGGGGCATCGTCCTGTCAAATTAGTGTGAATAAGAAACTTGTCATTGTTTTACATGATAGTACAAATCCTGGAGTCTTTTTCCTGTCTCATAAACTCACAAGATAACAGGTACATCTTGCTACTTCTACTTACACTTAGGTCACACTACAAAGGCATGTACATGTACATATATGAAATTGGCCTGATGACACTGGAAGACAGGAGGGTCAAGGGAGACATGATAACATATAAAATACTGCGTGGAATAGACAAGGTGGACAAAGACAGGATGTTCCAGAGATGGGACACAGAAACAAGGGGTCACAATTGGAAGCTGCAGACTCAGATGAGTCAAAGGGATATTTTTTTTTTTAACAAGTTCGCTGTCTCCCACCTAAGCAGGGTGACCCAAAAAGAAAGAAAATCCCCAAAACAAAAATACTTTCATCATCATTCAACACTTTCACCTCACTCATACATAATCACTGTTTTTGCAGAGGTGCCCAGATACAACAGTTTAGAAGTACAGGTCTCCCTCAACATTCGTGAGGGTTAGGGGATCAAGAGCCTCGCGAATGTTGAAAAACCGTGAATGTTTGGTGCCCCAATATATTGTAGGGAAATATATTACAATACTGCTTCCTTAACTTGTTGAACCATGAACAATCATAAAATACATGAAAACGTCGTAAATTGTACTAAATATATACATGTTATGCTTTAATAACATGCATGTTATTAAATACCACAGACTCCACCAATGCCTCCACCACTTCCCCAACCACTGCGAGTCCCTACTACCCTCCCTCCAACCCCCGCAACTGGCAGCCAGCCCTCCCACCACTCAGTGTGGTGAGTGTTTTGTTTGTTCATTATTTGCTATTAAACTACAGTATAAATAATGTAAACCCATTCATGACTGCATATTGGAATGGCTATTTGGACAGGTATTGGACGGTGACATCATGTGTTTAGTCTTGAACACAGCAAAGAATCAAACATTTCTGCTACTGCTAATAATAACAATAGTAATAATAATAATAATAGTAATAATAATAATAATAATAATAATAATAATAATAATAATAATATAATAATAATAATAATACGATATAATTGAAGAAGGAAATTGTACAAAAATACGAGGGAGTGGTTGACACATCGTCAGTGTGACTTTGTTTATGCTGGAGTGAACATTAGTCTCCCTGCTCTTCCAAACATTTCACAATAATTCAGCGGTTGAGGCAGTGGTATTTAATAACATATATGTTATAAATAATAATAGTACATATTAATAACATGTATTATTATTATTAATAACATGTATGTTATTAAATACCACTGCCTCAATCGCTTCCTCACCAGCTGCCTCACCCACTGCCTCAGTCGCTGCTTCAACAGTTGCCTCAATCGCTGCCTCAACAGCTGCCTCAACAGCTGCCTCAATCGCTTCCTCAACAGTTGCCTCACCCGCTGCCTCAGTGACCACTGCCTCAACAGCTGCCTCAACAGCTGCCTCAATCGCTGCCTCAACAGCTGCCTCAACCGCTGCCTCAATCGCTGCCTCAATCGCTGCCTCAATCGCTGCCTCAACAACTGCCTCAATCGCTGCCTCAATCGCTGCCTCAATCGCTGCCTCAATCACTGCCTCAACAGCTGCCTCATGCGCTGCCTCATGCACTGCCTCATGCACTGCCTCAACCACTGCCTCAATCGCTGCCTCAATAGCTGCCTCAACCACTGCCTCAATCGCTGCCTCAACAGCTGCCTCACCCACTGCCTCAATCGCTGCCTCAACAGCTGCCTCAATCGCTGCCTCAACAGCTGCCTCAACAGCTGCCTCAATTGCTGCCTCAATCGCTGCCTCAACAGCTGCCTCAATCGCTGCCTCAATCGCTGCCTCAATCGCTGCCTCAACAGCTGCCTCATGCACTGCCTCATGCACTGCCTCAACCACTCCCTCAATCGCTGCCTCAATAGCTGTCTCAACCACTGCCTCAATCGCTGCCTCAACAGCTGCCTCACCCACTGCCTCAATCGCTGCCTCAACAGCTGCCTCAATCGCTGCCTCAACAGCTGCCTCAACAGCTGCCTCAACAGCTGCCTCAACCACTGCCTCTACCACTCCAGTCGCACTCAATCTACAAGTACCAAACACAATGAATTATTGTGAAATGTTTATTAGAGCAGGGAGACTAATGCTCACTCCAGCATAAACAAAGCCACACTGACGATGTGTCAACCACTCCCTCGTATTTTTGTACAACTTCCTTCTTCAATTATATCGTATTTATTATTATTATTATTATTATTATTATTATTATTATTATTATATTATTATTATTATTACTATTGTTATTATTAGCAGTAGCAGAAATGTTTGATTCTTTGCTGTGTTCAAGAGTAAACACATGTCACCGTCTAATACCTGTCCGAATAACCATTCCAATATGCAGTCATGAATGGGTTTACATTATTTATACTGCAGTTTAATTAATAGCAAATAATGAACAAACAAAACACTCACCACACTGAGTGGTGGGAGGGCTGGCTGCCAGTTGCGGGGGTCGGTAGGAGGGTAGTAGGGACTCGCAGGTGGCGGGAAACTTGAATATGATTTGGCGGCTGGGAATTTGGCGGTTGGGAATTCGCGAATGTGTGAAGCCCGCGAAAGCTGAAAACATGAATGTTGAGGGAGACCTCTACATATATATAAAGATAAAATATAAAAAGTGACCTGAAATATAATAAACTCCCTATAGAATACAATATCAGGGCCCCAATTATATATATACTGTCACAGAGTTGTCAGGCAGTGGAATAGCCTAGAAAGTGATGTAGTGGAGGTGGGAACCATACATAGGTTTAAGACGAGGTTTGATAAAGCTCATGGAGCAGGGAGAGAGAGGACCTAGTAACAATTAGCGAAGAGGTGGGGCCAGGAGCTATGACTTGACCCCTGCAACCACAAATAGGCGAGTACACCCATATGAGTTTCTATTATTTTCTTAATAGTTCTAGTTCAAACTTATTTCATCTCCATGGAGAAGTGGAGAAGAATACTTCCTCCGTAAGCCATGTTTGTTGCAAAAGGTGACTAAAATGCTAGGAGCGAGGGACTAGTAACCTCTTCTCCTGTAAAAATTGCTAAATGTAAAAAGAAAAAAACCTTTTGCTCCTTGTTTCTTGGGTCACTCTGCCTCAGTAGAAGATGGCCAGTTTAAAAAAAAAAAAACATACAGTGGACCCTCCCTTTTCGTTGATCTCCGTTATCGCCAATTTCTGTTTTCGCTGACTTTTTTCGTCAAAATATTGGTTCTGTTTCTGTTAATTTCCTCCATTTTCGTCAATGGTACAGAACTTGTCCAGTGCCCAGAGCGCACACAGAGCCGCCTCCCACATGTTTCTCGGTGAGTGAGCATATCCTGCGATGTCATACGAAACATTTTGTAATAATCCACTGTTTTTGGCACTTGTTTATTGTGTGTGACTGCTAAATAAGCCACCATGGGCCCCAAGAAAGCTTCTAGTTCCAGCCCTTTGGTAAAGAAAGTGAGGAATACGACAGAATTCAAGAAAAAGTTTGTAGAAAAATATGAAAGTGGTAGTGGTAGATAGAGGGTGGTAGTGACGGTGGTAGTGGTGGTGGTACAGGGTGGTAGAGGGTGGTAGTGATGGTGGTAGAGGGTGGTAGTGATGGTGGTAGATGGTGGTAGTGGCTGTGATTGGTGGTAGAGGGTGGTAGTGGTAGAGGGTGGTAGTGGTAGAGGGTGGTAGTGGTAGAGGGTGGCAGTAATGGAGATTTGTGCAATGTGGAGTAGGATGGAAAGATTTGTGGCATAAAAAAACAAAGAAGGGAAGCGACCCCGGATAGGGATTTGCTACCTCGAGTCCTTATGGAGGGGGATTTCCCTTCCAAACAATAACCCCTCTTCCCTCTCCCCTCCTCCCTGTCTTCCATCCACCAACAACAGCCTTCAATAAAGGTAAGTATCATGTTGAATGTTCATTCTTTTGTGCATGTAAATCTATCTTTAAGGTAAAAAAAAATTTTTGGTTAATACTTCTGGCTGTCTGGAATGGATTAAAAAATGGATTCAGTTTTTGCCGATCTCTCTGGAATGGGGGGTATACTATACTGTATATAAAGTTGTGGTTATAATTTGTCATTGATATGTACTATATTCAAATTAATTTCTAGACCTGATAAACCCCTTATTTTAGTAGTGATTTCTTTTTGAGGATAAACTTTTTTTTTGTACCTTTAATTTTAAACCAACCACCCTACATTGCCAGGCCACGGGGCAGGTGGCTAAAGTTCTCGCTTCACACAACAAGGGAATGGGTTTGATTCCCAGTGAGGGTAGAAACATTGGGCATGTTTCTTTTCACTAGTTGTTTATGTTCCCCATCAGTAAAATGAGTACCTGGGAGTTAGTCGACTGCTGTGGGTCACATCCTGGGACAAAACTGACCTAATTTGCCCGAAATGTTCAGCATAACAAGGGGCTTTCTAAAGTAGTATGTCATTGATGTCAGTTAGAACTGTAACCTTGTACATGTACTTGTAGTAAATAAAGATATTATTATTATTATTATTATTATTATTATTATTATTATTAGACAGCAACCACCCAGGGAAGTACTACCGTCCTGCCAGATGACTGTGAAACAAAAACCTGTAACTGTTTTGCATGATGGTAGGATTGCTGGTTTTCTTTTTCTGTCTCATAAACACGCTAAGATAACAGGGATATCTTGCTACTCCTACTTACACTTTGGTCACAC